GAGTTGAATTGTGTCCCTTCAACAAAGATACGTTGGCATCCTGACCCCCCAGAACCTGAGAATTATTTGGAAATGGGGTTGTTGCCGAGTGGGGAGCAAGGCCGTTTCATGGGCGTGGACTCCTGCAATCTTGGGGGCCCCACCTCGAACTTGGGGCTCTGTGCTCTGCGGTCACCATTTTGAAATTCTTCATAATTTTATCTTTGAACCTGTGTTTGGTACGTGAAGTCTGACGGGCCCTTGGCTCATGGATGCTCCCACCTTCCACTGCCTGCTGCCTCCCGGGGCAGGTTCCAGACCGCTCCGTCCTCCTCTCTTGGTGTCCCTAGTGTCCAGCTCTGACGGGCCTCCTGTCCCCATGCCCTGGGTGTTGGGACGTCTGAGACTGGCCGTGTCTCAGGGTGGACACGGTGGAGGGGGAGCAGCTGGTGGGACAGGAACCCAGCAGTGGTGGGGCTGCTCATCGGCCGACTCGCAGGGCAGGACCCCGGGCCGGGGTGAAGGTCGGCGTTCACCCTGTGCCCAACACAACAGGACATTCAGCAGCCAAGACACCATGCAGGCCAAGAGAGAGCCATGGAAAAAAGGGGAAAGCTTGCATACTGTGGCACCTCCACCAGCCCCGAATTTTCATTTTGTGCTGGGCCTCTGGGCCGCTGTGGCTGGCCCTACTTGGGAGCCACGGAGAGCCACGGGGAGATGCCCCCACGCAGAAATAATGCACGGATCCGTCAGCTGCAGCCTGAGGCCACTTCTGGCGGCTTGAAGCCGGGGGAGGCAGCCTAATGAAGACACCGTCACGCTCCCTGGGGAGGGGCGGTCTGGCTGCTGGACCTCGCACCTCGCGTGCAGGGTCGGCCAGGCTGCTCCCGCCCAGATAGGGATGGGTGTGTGAGCGTGGATTCACCGATTCCACAGCCCTTGGCACGGGAACCCCCAGCCTGGCGTGCCCCCCCACCCCCCGCTCGCCGGGCGCATTTCTGAGGACACTTTGGCGGGATACGGGATATGGGGGGAAGTTTCAAGAGAGGAAGTGAGACTGTATCGTGGATAGCGCGGAGCTTCGGTCACCTGTGATGAAGTTTCTTTAAATCCTGGCAAACAGAAGCTGTTCTGCAGTCGTTGACCCCCTACGTCCACCACCAGCACCATCACCCCATCCTGGGTTGTACTGCCCCCCGGGACGCCCATAGGGCTGTTCTTTCCCCACACACCTGATTTCTCCTCGTACCGAGGGCACTGGAGCCCGGGACCCCGTGCACACGGGACTCTGAAACATTTGGGGTCAGGGATGTGTCATTCTGTGCCTTCCCCCAAAGCACTGTGTGTGGGCTGAGCCTTGTCCCCCAAATCCACATGCTGAAGCCCTAACCCCCAATGGGACTGTCTCTGGAAATAGGGATTCTAGGAGGTAATTATGCGTGAACAATGTCCCGAGCTGATAAGATGTAGCTTTTTTTTTTTTTTAATATTTTATTTATTCATTTGAGACACAGAGATACAGAGAGAGAGAGAGAAAGCATGAGCAGGGAGAGAGGCAGAGGGAGAGGGAGAAGCAGGCTCCTCACTGAGCCAGGAGCCCGATGTGGGGCTCGATCCCAGGACTCTGGGATCATGACCTGAGCTGAAGGCAGACGCTTAACCATCTGAGCCACCCAGGCGCCCCAAGATGTAGCTTTATAAGAAGAGGAGGAGAGCTCTCCGCCACGTGGGGACACAGGGAGAAGGTGGTGGCCCACAAGCCAGGAGGGGGCTCCCCAGAACCTCTATCTCAGACTTCCAGCCTCCAGGGCTGTGAGATACAAGTTCTTGCTGTTGCAGCCACCCTGTCTGTGCTGCTTTGTTCTGGCAGCGGGAGAGGACCGGCACCCGCTGCCACCTTCTCTGTGCTCCAGACCATCGGCTGGGGCAACACAGGTGCTTCTAGAATCATCTGAAGCACCCCGGGGAAGCCGCTGGTGGGACCAGGGAGCACTTCCTCAGCCCGAAGCCACATCTGTTTTGACCGCTACTAAACATGAAGTTGTCCCTGGGAAGCCAGGCCCGTGGGGTGACTCGCCCGTGGCCCCAGCGGGTCACTGAGAAAGCTAGGCTTCTGTTCGTCACTTGGACACTCTCTCTCAGCAAGGGGCCAACCACCATTTTGAAAGTGAGTCATGAAGACCTCACGATATCATTCCCTAGGAACAAATATTTAAATACAGGAAAATAAATAACTCCAGCCTGAATAGCTAAAGCCAGGAAATTCAGAGGTGATATTTGCACACCAGGATGTCTAATTTGTTTGCTGTGCTGATCAGAGCAGAAAAAGTTTCTGCGAGAATATTTGTGTATTCATAAGCAGTGGTAGAAACAGATGGATCATTGTCACGTGTACATCTTATAGTGAAAAGAAAAAGTCCGTTTCATGTCAAGTGGCCTAGGATCCTGTTTTCTTCGTGTGCCCCTCTGCTGTGTGGCATCCAAAGGCAGGGTGGAGAAGAGACGCTGTGGCTGGGACTTTGAAAATACTCCCGCTCAGAAAAATACTGTCTCTGATGAGGAGCAGCCTCGTTCACAAGCGTGGGGAGCTTGCATGCTGACCCCAGAAAGGCAGAGCCGTGGTCGTGCTGTAGTGTGTCTCCCGGGAGAGGCTTAGAAGACCCGTGTGCCAGCCAGCCAGTGTTAGCTCTGGGAACGTTCTGCCCTGCGGTCAGTGCCCTGGCAGTGAGCCAACCAAGGTGTTCAGGAGAAGCACAGCTGGACAATGGTTAAAGGCTAAGGGCAGATTTTATTCAGAAAGAGCTGAGCTCAACTCTGAACACAGGTGGAGTTGGGGTTTACGGCCAAGGGAGAGGGTGGGGTGGGGTCGGTGGTTGGAAAGCCACTAAGAGGAGACCCCAAGGGCAGGGGATTGTTGCTGAAGGTAAGCCAGGGTGATCATTTCAAGGACTGGCTTAGCAGGCAGCGGACAGGGTCCGGGGACCCACCTTAGGCAAGAGGAGGGCTCAGGGGAGTCTCAGGGGAGTCTGATCATTATACAGGAAGACATGCAGAAAAGACTGTGCTTCAGTTCAGGTGAGGACTGGATGATAGGGCAGAATATAGATCACAGACTGTTTAAAGTGGTGGCAGAGGGCAGGGAAAGGGTGCTGGGTGAGTGGGGGGGAGGGCAGAGGCAAGAAGGCCCTCACGTGGCTGATCACAAGCATCAGGAGTGGGAACACTGTCCAGCTTGGCCGTGATTATCTAGGGCACGCAAAGCTGATTAGCAGATGCCTGGAAGGAAGTCCAGGATGAACTGACCTGAGGCGTCCCAGCCAGGATTAGTGGCACCAAATCCTGGTTCTGGGACTCCATGGGTTCTGCGTTAGGTGGAGGAAGGTGCATAGGAGACTCAGTTCCAGCAGAGGCAGGGGAGGGTGCTGGGCCTCCTTCTGCCTCTCAGGCCCCTGTAACCCCCTCCCACCTTAAGGAGTGGCCAGTGGGATGGGGTAGTGGGCCAGTGAACAGGCTCACGTGACAGGAAGGGCCCTTGAAGACTGGTGGAGCAGGTGAATGAGCTGGACTGGACTGGTGTCCCTTGCTTCCCCAGGAACTCTTGAGGGCAGGTCCCCTACACACACACACACACACACACACACACACACACACGCACGCACTCAGAGCAGCCGTGGGAGGGTCCCCTGGGGAGGAAGGGTGTTCCTCCATATCTCCCCTCCCTGGAGGAATGCCCAGACTTCACCATGGTCGCAGGAAGGCTCCCGCAGGGGTACACAGTATTTGTACAAATAGCTGGAAATTTCCCCCGTGGGAGGGTGTCACTAAAAGAAATGTCCTCTCTTTTGCTCACTGTTGAAATAAAAGGAAAAAGGCCACACAGATCAAAATAGTCTTGATGACATTTAGAATTTAGGGGCATTCCGTTCTGCCTGAGTTTTGACAAAAGTCGGACCTCCACATGCAAGGCCCCCCCCCCAACTTTTTCTCCTGGTCGCCTATAAGTTCCCCATGTCTTACAATCCCACAGCAAATCGAGGCTTTGGCAGCGCGGTGCTGGGATCAGCATGGGTCCCACAGAACCTCCCGGGGGCCCGGAGTCCACCCATGCGCGCTGGCCCCACCTGCTGGGCAGGTGCGTCTGCGGTCCGGCAATTCCCTCCGCAAGATGAGGGCCGGCCCGAGGGGACAGAGGCCCGCGTCCAAGGGCAGGCCGGGATCCCGCCCTTATTTACATGTTTGATGTTTTGTGCATCGTGAAGTTTTTGCATTGATTTTGAAGTTTTAAAATACTGCAGTAAAATGTGACTTATCTTGATCAGAGTTTTTTTGGCGCTAAATCCCTTAAATCTGCGCCCCGTCCGAGTGTCTCACCCGCCGCTTCCCCGCATCTGCGCAGGCAGGAGCTGAAATTACCTTGCTCGCGGCTGGATCCCCAGGGCCTCCAGAGAGCCTGGAACATTAATACTGTCACCTCTTGGTCGACGGGACGCTTGGGGCGGGAGCGCGGGGTGGGGAGAGCGCAAGGGCGCAGGGGAGCGCGGGGCGGGTCGGGGCGCAGAGGGGACAGTGGGAGAGGGGAGCAGAGATGCGCGGGGCGCGTTCCGGGAGGGGGCGACTGCGGAGCCGGGTCGGGGCGCTGTGTGAGGAGGGACCGGGCGGAGAGCAGGCGGAGATCCCGGGAGGGCATGGTGGGCGGAGGCGCCGGGGCGGGCCCCGCAGCTCGGCCTCCTGGAGGCGGGAGCCGCTGCAGACGCCGCTGCTTCTGGGTCTCAGGTGTTTGTGAGTGTCCCTCCTGCCCCCAGTGCGCTCGCCCCTGCCCCGGCGAGAGGCCGAGGCCCGGGCCGAAGAGCAGGGGGAGCCCCAGGTCCAGGCACGGCCCAAGCACGTCCCGGGTGACCATCTATCTTCATTCCCCGCCCCCCGCTGGTGTCTTCCGGCCGCAGGTGTCTGTCCGTCCCACGCAGGCGTGTCCCACCGCCGCCCCCCGCCCCCCGCAGGTGTCCCCCCTCCATCCGGCCATGGTGGACGTCCTGGGCGGCCGGCGTCTGCTGACCCGCGACGGCGCGTGGGTGGAGGCCGAGGCCGCGCTGCAGAACAAGGTGGTGGCGCTCTACTTCGCCGCGGGCCGCTGCGCGTCCAGCCGCGACTTCGCGCCGCCGCTCTGCCGCTTCCACGCCCAGCTGGTGGCCGAGGCGCGGCCCCCCGCGCCCTTCGAGGTGGCGTTCGTGTCGGCCGACGGCAGCGAGCGGGAGATGCTGGACTTCATGCGCGAGCTGCACGGCGCCTGGCTGGCGCTGCCCTTCCACGACCCCCTCCGGCAGTGAGTGGCGCGGGGCTGGGCGGCCGCGCGGAGCTGGTCCCCGACCCCGGGCGGGCCTCTCCCGCGTCCCTCGTGCTCCCCGCTGCAGCCTCCCAGCGGCTCCAGCCCCCCAGCGGCTCCAGCCTCCCAGCCGCTCCAGCGGGGCTGCCACCTGCCCCGGGGCTTGGCGAGCCTTGCCTCGGCGGGTCTGCGGTTTCCAGCCAGCCCGGCTGCTGAGGCTGCTGCGGTGGCGGAGTCCACCCGCGGAGGGGCTCGGGGAGGAGTGTGGAAGCGGGAGAGGGAGCCTCTGAAGGCTTGGGTCGGAACTGGGGACCCTGCGTGCGCTGCCGTCAGGGAGCTGGGGGCCATGTGCGGGGTGGGGGAGGGCGGCAGGGACTCCAAGGCTGGGGGAAGCCCCTCCCTGCTGGCCCGGGTGCGGTTCTACTGGAATTTCCCTACTGTCGGAAGAACCAGGCCCCTGGACTCCAGCGGAGTTAATGACAGCGTCCCCGAAAATCCAAGGGGAGGAGGGAGAAGGTGGGAGGGGTGAGGAGGGGGGACCTCAGTGGGGAGGAGGAAGGATGGGGTGGGGAGGAGGTGGGAAGGAAGAGGGAGGATGGAGAAAGTGGGAGGGAGGAGGTGGGAAGGAGAAGGGAGGACAGAGAAGGTGGGAGGGAGGAGGCAGGAGGGAGCATGGTGAGGATCAGCAGGGCTGGCCGGCTGGAGTGAGCTGGGCACTGATTGTCGCTGGGGTCTTTGCTGTGGTGACAGGCTCCAGACTTGGGTGTACATTGCTCCTCACAACTGTGTTACCCCAGCACCCCTGTAACAGATGTGGAATGAGTTTCTGGGTGTGTTTTCTGGGGGCATGCTTCTTTTCTCTGGGGGCGGTTATTCAGTGGTGTGACAACTGCCCTCCCCTCCCCTCCCCTCCCCTCCGCCTTAACACACGGGGTGGGTGATGCTGAGGAGGTGAGCCTCAGGCCTTCCAGGTGGGCGCCCGACTCCGGGAAAGTCTTACTGACGCCTGGTCTACGTGACAGTGAAAATAAACCTGAGTGGCAATTTAGTGAGGATGAATCTCAGGGATTTGCTCGGCAAAGGATTCATCATCGGGTCTCTAGTGCCTCTGGTTCGCTTAGCACTCAGGTTATGTGCAGCTTTTTGAACAAACACACTCAGTTTTGAAAGTGACAGGGGGACCGTGTTGGTAATCAGGCAGAGCTGGGGGTCTGGGCAGAGCCCAGCTCTGGGGTTTCTTGTGTGGTGACGTAGGCGAGGCATTCGCTGCCCGGGGTCATGGCATCCCTGTGTCGTACGTGGGCTGCCCCGATTCGTGAGTTTGGAGCCGCGGTGGTGGTTGCGTGCCCCATTTCACAGATGTGTCGCTGAGGCACTAAGGAGGCCGGTGCTCCGGGCTCTGGAACCTGACTCTGCCCTGGCAATCCTCTTCCTCTCCCTCTCCGAGGGGTCCCAGGGGACCGCAAGCCTCAGCCCCTCTGCTCGGCCTCACCCCGGGAGGGCCTGGCCCAGCTCCTCCTGGTTCTCCTGGGATGCGGTCACAGCCCTTGAGGTCCACTGCCTGCAGCCGAGCAGGTCAGGGCCCGGGCGGCCAGCCTGGTTTCCGGAAGAAGCCAGCCTCCGTTTTCCTTCCGTTAGGTTAGCTCCTTGCCCTTCTACTTACCAGAAGAGACCTCATGAGCTCTCCTTGCAGTTTCTATGGTAGGAAATGGGCTATTCTGTGGGAATATTTGGAGCTACGCCCTAAGCTCTGCTCATTGCAGCCTGGATACATGGAATCAGATCACGAACCCCATGGAAATAGCCACCAGCGTGGAGCACTAAGGAATGTGGGATGCATGCGGGCGGCCTTTGGGGAAGTTTCCAGAAGTGTGTGGAACTCGGCGCTCTGCGTGGTGCCCTGGGGAGTGGGGCCAGGACAGGAGTCACCTGGGCCCCGCTAGGTCGGTCATGGTCAGGGACCCCAGGCTGTCTTCCCTCAGGGTCCACCCGCTGGATGACTGCTGACCCACTGAGTCCCAGGATGAGGAGGGGAATTCAGCAGAGAGCCCCGACGGGGCTGCCCTGGGCATGGCTGGTGGCCGGATGGCTGGCGGGCGACCACAGCCCTTCTGCCTGGGCGCACATTGCTTACTGATGTCCTTGCGGCGGGTGCCTGTGTGCAGGTGGGTGAGCAGCCTGAGCAGGGGGACAGCACCGAGGACGGGGTGTCCTGCCCGTCTTCCTGCCCTTTGTTATGGGCCCAGCACCCAAGCATCAGCTTCTGCTTCTGCCTGGAGGAATTCCTGTCTCCTGCTGTCACATGCAAGACCCACTCCATCATGATTTTTCTGGACTTTATGATTGTTTCTTAACAACACTGGGGCCCACTTGGGCTTTGGAACCTCTGTGACCCTCCCTGCCTCCAGTCCGCTCGGCTCCGACTGCCCCCACTATGGGCCAGGCGGATGGATGCCTCAGCCTCCAGGCTGACAGGTTTGGGTTGAATGGAGAAGACAGCTGGCCGTGGCTTCGTTTCTCGGGTAGAGAATGGCTCCATTAGAGCTGTCTACTCGGTGGGGCCGAGCTTCTCGACAGGCCCGCGCTCCCTGCCCTCTCCCCAGCCCTGTGTTCCAGCTCCCCGGCCTCCTGACTCAGCACGTCCTCGTCAGGCACCGATTCTGCTGAGTCTGGGTTTCTCCTCTTTGCTACTTCCTTCCCTTAGGCCCTGGACCATTGGCATGTCCTCACTCACCCCCCCCGCCTCAGTGTCCACATCTGACGGACTCTTGTTCTGGAACCCGCCTCCTCTCGTCAAAGGCAGTCTGGTCCCACCGGGGATACCCCAGCTTTCCGGGGCTCAGTCCATGTCTTGTCTGCCCACACTCACCCCGTTACCCCCTTTGCACCCGTGTTCCGGCCAGACAGGGCAGCTGGTGTTCTAGACTACCCCATATCTTTCCCACCTCCAAACCCTGGAGCCCCCTTCCCCTCCTGACAGCCCCAACTCCTCCCCGGCACCCCTGGGGACGCCAGCCCGTGTGAGGAGCGTCTCTGCAGTCTTGAAGGTTGGAGCAGACACGGTTCCCTGCTTGCTGTCTGGGGGCTGCGTCTTGGGTGGGGGCTGGGCCAACAGTCTCCCGGTGGCCAGGATGGGAAGAGGCCAGAACCAGAGTTGCCATGGCAACCCAGAAGGGGTTGTGCCGGGGAGGAGGACGCGCTGTGTTCGGTGGAGGGAGGGATCCAGGATTGCAACAGCGCCCCATGCCCAGGGCAGGGAGGAACTCGGATCCCCCCAGACAGCCACAACGCCCAGAGTTCTCACACCCGCGATGTGCACGGCCACAGGGCTCTCCTTTCCAAGGCACAGCCTGTTCCCTGGGGACACAGCGTCCGCAGCAGGTGCAGGTGCTTATGAGCCTCTCGGCCGGTGGCTCCAAGGTGACGGCTGTCCCCAGGCAGAGGCTGCCTGGGCGGGGATTGGAGGGCCCACACGGCTGACTCTGAAGATATTCTGGAGCAAACGTCTATTCCAGACTCCACCTCACTCCCCTAAGCCCGGCTGGCTTGCCTTGCGCCCCCTTGACGGTGTCAGAGCTGATTTTATGTCGCGAGGGACGAGAACAACAGCAACTGGCCCAAAGCTTAAACTGCGAAGGTTGTTGATTGGCTTAATTTAAACAGCCTGCAGCCAGGAGCTGGTCTCGAGGGTGGGGGGGGGCAGAGAGGACAGTTTCCTCCACTTTCTGCCATGCGTGCTCCGTGCTCAGGCTGCAGCCAGTGGCCACCTGGCAAGTCCAGTCTCCCCTCAAGGTGGCAGAGGGGCTGCTGCGTCTCAAGCTGCACATCCTCACGCCTTCCTCTTTCCTAGCACACACCCAAGCGCTCTGCGGAGTCTCAGGGGTTCTGTGTCTGCCGGGTACCCATCAGCATGGCTGTGCTGCATTGGACAGCCCAGCTGGAATTGGGGGGTGGGCCCCCCATCAGTAACAGCCAGTGTTTTTTGAGCATTTATGTGCCCATCCCTTGGCTGTGCTGTATGTCTACTCACCATCTCATCCTCCCAGCAACCCAGGGAGGTGGGTTCTGTTTTTCCCACCGTGTAGGTGAGGACTCCGGGGTACAGGGCGGTTGGCTAGCTTGCCCGAGTCCCTCAGCTAGTTCATGCCAGAAAGTGCAGGCCTGTGGACGCTGGGCATCAAGCCGCAGGCTGTACTGCCCAGACTGTCAAGGGCATGGTTCTCAGCTTCCCTCCTCGGGGTCCCTGGACGGCGGAGGGAGGGGGGTGCAGGTGGCCCTGGGAGACTGGGGCTCCACCCCCACCAGCAGGGCAGGAGACTCTCCCTGGTGGGGTGGCTACTGCTGGTCTGGGGACCCCATGCCTGGAGCACCGCTCCTGCAGATGAGCTACTCCACGGTGGGGCCTGGACCAGCAAGCCGCAGTCACCACACGGGGAGCCTGGCAGGGATGTGGATGCAGAGTCAGGAATGCATGTGGGCTCCGCCAAGGGGTCCCCTCATCACCTCCAGGACCCCCCAGGGCCTCCGCCTGGCCTTGGGGGTAAGCCCCAGCGGGACCGTGGTGACGTGGTGCGTGCTGCAGGCCCTGCCATGCTGCCCACAGCGGAGGCCCGGACAGAACCTATCTGCCCCGGCTGCCGGACAGAGCCTCTCGCGGGCCACCGCCGTTTCCTGCAGCCGTTACGCCAAGGGCTACTGGGTGGTTCCTCTTTTCTTCGTGTTTGTTTTATGCTTTGGGGGAAAGCTAATTTCTTAGGCATTTCAAATTTCTGGGGTTGTGCAGGATTCTGAAAACACTGGGGAGGATGTCTCCCCCCAGTTACCTGGGTCACACCCCGCACCCCCCCCGAGTTGCCAGACCTGCGGGCTCGTGAGTGAGGCCCGTGTGGGTCCCCAGGTTGGCGTCTCTCCATGACCGTGCTTTGGATTTGTCAGCCCTGGTGTCTGTTTCAGTAACGCTCACGTTTATATAATAGCTGACTTGTTTCTCTCAGACGTTCGTGTCTCCTCACGTGAGTAACTAGGGGACGCCGTGCAGACCGGCTTCTAGAAGCTGCTGGAGGGGCAGCCAGCCCAGTGCGGGGGTCCTTTGGGCACCAGCATCCACGAGCAGGGCAGAGTCCACCGCGCGCCGGGACTGGCCACCGCCTGACTCCCGATGCTCCCGTGTCTTCCTTTCTCCCTCGGGCAGTCAGGGCCCTGCTCTGTGCACCTTCCCTGGGGCCAGGTCCGGTTTGTCTGTCCGTGACTTCTGTGTTCGGTGTGCCTTTCCCAGTGTTTGCGCATCGGCACCGTGCCCGCTTCTTGGATCAAACCCACGGCTTGTCTACACAGAGGCCTGTCGTTCAGAAAAGTGTGTTTTAGACCACAACTTCCTGTGTCTAGTGGTGTCTGCAGCTGGGGATCCGGAGTGTATTCTGCATCGTTCTCTTCTAATTAGGTTGTAGTCTGAGTTGCTGTTTTATGGGTAACATATGGATATTTAGTTTTTAAACTCATTCCAAAAATTATTTCGTATTGGTTACCAATTTCCATTATGTTATGGTCTGGTTAAGTGGTCTGTGTGCTATTGATTTTTGAAATTTATTTATTTTTTAAAGATTTATTAATTTATTTGAGAGAGAGCGAGCATGAGCAGGTGGAGGGGCAGAGGCAGAGGGAGAAGCAGGCCTCCTGCTGAGCAGAGAGCCTGATGCGGGGCTCAGTCCCAGGACCCCGAGATCATGACCTGGGCCGAAAGCAGATGCTTCACCGACTGAGCCCTCCAGGCGCCCCTGATTATTTGAAATGTATCAAGATCCCTGCGTGGCTGAGAGCATCTGGCTTTGTCACTGTCTCATGGATGTTTGAAAACGAGGCCATCTCTCTTTGTTGGGTGGAGGTGGGATATATTTTTTCCTGCTTGATTTATGCGTGTGTGTTTGATCTGGGTTCCCCAAAAGCAGCAGGAAGGCCGTGGTGGAGGTGTCACCAGGAGATGTGGTAACAGGAGGGTCTCAGGTACATTTTTCCTTCCACGCAGACCCACAGTCCTGAGGGTGAAGATGAGGGAAATCAGGTTACTGTTTATGGGAGGCCCGAGCAGGCTGGCCTTGGAAATGGGGAGGGATTTTCATCAGCTGCCCTATCCTGAGGACAGTAATCCCGGGGACGGTTACAGGGAGAAACCAAGAAGGTGGATGCTCCTTCCCCTAAATGAACACAAATAATTTTGTAAAAAGGTCTCTCACCGGGTTGCACCTGACAGGAAACATAGCCAAGAAATGTGTCATCATGTTGATCAGCCTGTCCTTGAGTTTCCTGGGCAGAAAGTCTCACACGGCTTTGCAGTGGTCTAGAACCCATGGAGTTTTCACTTGGACCACTGTGTGGACCTGATGTTTTTCTGCTTCTTGAATGTAGGAGGGATATAAGTTTATTGGGGGGGGGATCTGTGGGTTTAAAATTGCACTGTCCAGTATGTGGCTACTTAAATTTAAGTTAGCTAAGATGAAAAATTCGTTCTCTCAGGCCTGCAGCACCTTTCAGGTGCTCCGGGGTCCCACGCAGCTGTCGGTTCGGGCAGCTCAGGTTCAGAGGCGCTCCCTCCCTGCGGACGCTCCTCTGGGGCAGCGCTGGCTTGGACAGGCCCGCAGCAGGGAGAGCAGATGCCGAGGAGGCCAGCGTGGGGGAGGGCGCACCGGCAGGTCTGGTGCTGAGGCTTGGCAGGGTCTGCCAGCCGAGGGAGGCCCTGGTCCCCTCAGACGTGCACGTGGCGTTCTGCCTGGCCCCCTGCTGACCCGGCCCTCCCCTCCCTCTTCTCTCCTGCAGCGAGCTGAGGACCAGGTACCACATCTCAGTCACCCCCAGGCTGGTGGTTGTGAAACCGAGCGGGGAGGTCATCACCGACAAAGGGCGGAAGCAGGTCCGCGAGCGGGGTCTGGCCTGCTTCCAGAACTGGGTGGAGGCCGCCAACATCTTTCAGAATTTCTCCGGATGACATGGGGGGTTCCAGGCCGGGGCAGGTGCGCGAGCATGGGAGAAGGGGAGCGGGCTGGTTTCCAATCTTTGCCCGCCCTGGGGGAGCTCATGTCGGAGCAGAGGCGAAAACAGCGCCCAGGAAGAGTGCCCCCCCCCACAGCCTGCGAGGAGTTACTGTGATTATTCTTAGCATAGCTTTCTCCGCGGGAGCTTGAGCAGGTTCACGTCGAGCTCCTGGAAATCTGTGGAAACATGTATTTATACCCACTCTTCAGGTGAGATAATATATTTATTGATACGTCTGGAGCTCTGTTTATGTTGGTGATTTGCTCTCACCCCTGCATTTATTACTGAGGTTTGCGGAATCCACATGCTTTAATAAAGAAACCTGTTTCCAGCGGAGCCCCCTGATCTCCTTCTTCCTCGCGGCAAACCAGGTGGTCTCACAAGGAGAGACAGGTGCTGCGGGAATACCGTTCTCAAGCACTTGGTTCTGTGTTTCGAAGTCCCAGAGCTTTCCCATGCTGTGGGCTCGGGTCTTCAGGATCCGATGCACATCTCCGAAAAGCTGCTGGTGGCTCAGCGAAGCAGAGGCCCATGCGCTGTCTTGGCAAAGAAGAGCAGGAGGGGTTCTGTCGGGGGTCCCCCACCAGCCCCTGCTCCCCTCGCGCTGCCTCCCCTCGCTGCCTGTCACTCACATGCCTGGGGTCGGGAAATACCGGGTCCCCTCTGGCCCGGTTCCCACCTGCCCACCTGCCGGGAACCTGGGCTGAGGGTTTGCTGCACGGCTGTCCCTCGGAGGGCACCGCGCACACACACACACACACTGAACACACACCACAGGACAGACACACATAATACAAACAACACACGCACACAGCACAGACCCTACATGTGTCTCCTGAGCCCCTCTCCGCCTCCCTCCTCCGTTGCGTCCTGCGCTGGGTCCATGAAAGCATAGGAAGTGTCTGTCTGTCTGTCAGGACAGGTATAGCACTTTTTTTTTTTAAGATTTTATTTATTTATTCAAGAGAGCCACAGTGAGAGAGGGAACACAAGCAGAGGGAGTGGCAGAGGGAGAAGCAGGCTCCCCGTGGAGCAGGGAGCCCGATGCGGGGCTCGATCCCAGGACCCTGGGGTCGTGACCTGAGCCGAAGGCAGATGCTCGACCTACTGAGCCACCCAGGTGCCCCAGGACAGTAACAGTGCTTTTATGTCTTTTTTTCTGTGTAGTTTCTGATAACCTGAGTTCTCTTTCCCCTCTTGTTTACTTAGGGGAACTACAGGGGACCCTGGTGGGTTTGGGGGACTAAGCAGAACCCCAGCAGGTTTCAGAGACCAAAGGGGCCCCTGTGGGGTTGGGGGACTGTGAGACACAGTGGGGTTGGGTTCTGAGCTCCCCTCTAGAGTGGTCTTGCTGGTTCATTCTGAAGGGGACCGCTCCTGCACTGGACACGTCTATCAGGACACGTCTCCCATGTCCTGTTGCGGGCAGAGGACTGGCTACGGCCCCTCTGGGTGTCCTGGGCGCAGTCCTCTGATTCACCTGGGCTTCCCTGCCCCAGCCCCGTCGCCAGCACGAGAGGCCCCGCTGCCCCCTCTGGGCGCAGGTGTGGAGGGTGTCCCCCGGGGTGGTCTGATGACCTCCGGCAGTGGCCAGTCGTCCACGGTGCTGGTGCTGGCTCGCGCGGCTGTGGGCCTTGGGGTTGGCACCACCTGCTCCCACCAGGCCTCCCAGCATGTCCTACTATGTTCGCTCTTTTGTTTCCCAAGATTTAAAACCCCTCCTGTGATTTCACTCCGTGAAGCACGTGTTCAAACCCGCGGGTTTGTGTGAGCGGTGAGAAGAGTTCATTTTAAGGTGCAACAGCGCCAGGAACATTCCTTTTTAAATTTTTATTTAATTTAGTGACCCGACCACGTGCTGTGCGAGTCTCCTTTTCTACCTTGAACTGCATCTCTCATCCTTACAAGGCCCCCAGTTGCGCCTGCGTGTTCCCTGTCTGCAGGAGCGTGGCGCGGGGCTGTGTCTGCACACCGAGGGTGGGGTGGCAGGAAGTCACCGAGGGATAAATCTGGCTGTGGTTCGACCAGACCTGGGGTCAGAATCCTGGACCACGTCCCTCTGCCCCACGGGGACCCCCCTGCAGCCCGTGGCCCACGGGCTCAGTCCCGCCACCAGAGACCCGCAGCTGGGAGACGGTAGGATTTCCCCTGGTTACCTGCCTCCCGAGACTGCGCGTCTCAGACTCCACCTGCTTCCCCCCAAATACCCCGCCAGCATCGCTGTGCACCCCGCGAGGGCAGCCTGCGACTCTGTCCCCTGCCCGTCCTCTCTCAGTTCCTCTCATACGGTGCGTTCAGTGTCTGGGTTCGGTCCGCAAGGCTTCCTGGTTCTCCTGATGCTGCATCTCAGGTGGGCGTGCGGCCTGGTGGCCGCGGGGACCTCTGGTGGCCGCGGGCGGCAGCGCGTCACAAGGGGCGAGGAGAAGAGGCTCTATCCTGCTGCGGTTACAGGGAGAAGGCGGGCTGGGCCTGGGCTTGCCTCCGCTAAGCTTCAGAGAGGAGATCTCTTACTATTCCAGGTGGATACAGACCAGGGGGCGGAGGCCGTGTTCTCACCCATGTTCTTTTGCTTTCCTGCTTTCTCTTTCTGACACAGGGAAGCCTTAGGTCTGTGCTATGATGTTGGTTTTCTCGTTACGAATAATCATCTTTGGTCTGGGGACAAACGCGTCACATGAATACAGGGTTTGGGTATCTGGTAATTCATCCTGCAGGCGCCTGGGCTGGCAGAGGTGAAGCGTGACGGGGTTGACGTCTGTGCCGCGGGTGGTGGGGGCCTGGGCACGAGGCGGGCTCGGGCCGCCCGGGCAGGGTCCCGGTGGCACTGCAAGGACAGCTGTCACCTGACCCCACCTTCAACTGAGACCTCGATTCCGTAGCGGGAGGCAGGTCTGGGGCCTTTCAAGAGGTGACTATTTCTCCGTGCCCATAGCAGCCACCTTCTGTGAGCTGGGCAGAGGAGATCGTCCGCGCGGAAGGAAGGCCGCGAGCCGGGGCACGATGCCAGTATGGCGGCCCTTGCTGGTTAGGGTGACTCTCCGGGGAAAGCCCGCCGGGACGGTGTCCACCTGGTGCCCGGCAGCAGGCTCACTCCACGCCCGCCGCTCAGCACACACTCACAAGCATCCCGCCCGGCGGGCTTTCCCCGGAGAGTCACCCTAACCCACCGGCTGAAAGAAAGGCCCGGCTGGACAACAGGGGATGGGGTGGGGTTGTGCACGGAGCAGATTCTGGGGGAAGGAAGAAGCATCATGAGACTTCTGGATGACAGGGGCGGAGAAGAACATTTTTCAGAGCCGTGGCAAAGCTCTCTGCACCCTGTGGGGTCCCTCTCTCCTCCTCCCTCTCCCAGCTTCGGAAGGAACCCAGCACCTGCGGACTCGAGGGGCTCCCCTTCCAGGGGGCGTGGGGGCGCCCCAGGGCTTCTGCAGTGGAGGTCCCAGCCGGAGGGCCCACCGCCTCCGGGTTCTGGGGGAGGCTCTAACAGTGCAATTGGTTAAACCCACACACGAGCACAAACCACCTCTGCTGTCAGAGCTCATCCCAATGTGCAGAATCGATGGATTTGAGATGTTCTCTCCTGCATCCCTGCCCACTGTCAGCCGGGACAGGTGCCTTCCCTGTGGCCGTGAGCCTCCCGCACTCAGGCACACTCCGCACACTCCACTTGCTGGGCGCCTGCCTGCCTCCCCCCGGGGCTGTTGGCTGAACAGGTCCAGAGGGTCAGTGCAGGGCCCCGAGGGTTGGAGGAGGGGCAGCTCTGGGGCCGCAGGGGGCTCCCTGCCTGTCACTTAGACGGCCACCATGGTCCCTGGCTGGGCTCAGGGCGTCCACTCCCCACCTCCTGGAATGTGCTGTCCTCACAGCAACGACGTCCGTCCTTCATGTGGAAATCAGGTCGTGTTTTGTCCCTCCTTCCCAGCACTTCAGACTGTGGCCAGGTCCTCCCGGGACCGCCCTCCCATTTCTCTGCGTCGGCTTGCTCCTCCCAGACACACCCCCCTGTCCTTCCTCTCCCTGAGTGTCCTGGCCACCTCCTCGCCGTGCTCACGCTGCCCACATGGCTCCTCAGAGGCTCCTTCCCTGACCCTCCTATCCAGATGGCACCCCGCTCCTTCTGTGCATCACTGGTGTGGACGGCCTTCTCTGGGTTGTCCGTCTGTCTGTCTAGCTGTCTGTCAGTCATTCATCATATCTAGCATCTATCACATCGATCTGCCTATTCTGTCGTGTCTGTGTCATATCCGTCACCCATCTATCTATCTATCTATCTATCCATCCGTCCATCCACCCATCATGTCTATCTACATCTTTCTCCCTGACCAGCAAGTAACTACCTTGAGAGCAGAAACTGCATTCATATATGGTTCATAGAACTGGTATGCACTTGATGTCCATGACTACTTGTTGACTGAATTCTAAGATTTTATTTATTTATTTATTTAAGACAGACAGAGAGAGAGAGAGAGAATGAGCTGGGGGAAGGAGAGGGAAAGAACCTCAAGCAGACTCCTCATTGAGCACAGAACCTGATGTGAGGCTCAATCCCACGACTCTGAGATCATGACCTGAGCCGAAATCAGAAGTGAGACACTCAACCACCTGAGCCAGCCAGGAGCCCCTGACTTCCTGGACTCTAATGTCTACTGAGCAGGATCGTGAGTGGCACCCTGTAGATTACTGTGTCCGGCCGCACGTCTGTGGACTCAATGCTGGTCTTTAACCTTTGCTGTGATGAGCACCCTTGTCCAGGTGACTCCCAGCACCTTTGTTGGACACAGTGAATGTGCGCATGAATTGGTAAAGAGTGAAGGGGTGAGCGGTCCATCCCTTTCTGGGGTGCGTGCTCCTGTTCCGTCACCATGTAGGGGATAACCTTTCTCCTGCTGCATTAGTCAGCTGTGCTTGGACAACTCCGGCGTCTCTAGTCTGGGGGACGGTGCAGTGGGGCTG